CCTGTAAGTTCTGACTAAATCCTGTAAACCGGACTACTATTGGAACAGAGTAAATTAGTCTGGTCATGTGTGCGCACTGCGCAGCTACCGAACTTATGCGCCGCTAGCAGCCGGTCAGTTTGCGTTTGTACCTCAGTTCTAATGTATTTGCAGGAAATCTGGCATTTTAAGCGAAATATTGAACGTAATATTGATATATCTATGTGGATTACGTAATTTATGTGCTATTTAGCTGTATAAAAACTGCAAAAAGACTCAAAATTAAATTAAGAGTAGTCTTATGAGATTGATGTAAACATCCAATTTAAAAACAGTTTATGTTTTCATCAGTTAAATATGCTTCATATGCATATACAAAGGATGCGCCGATCTCGGACCGCTATTCCTCTCTTAACGAATTTGACAGAATCGTTGTTTGCATGACGTCACACTGGTGCAACTTGTTTACATTTTCCTTGCAACATTTTTTCTTCTTCTTCCATTCTTGCTCACGTTTTGGCATTTCTCTCTCGCAATTGCACCAGTGTGACGTCACACAAAAGTTATTCTCAAAAATCCTCTCGGTTTTATTGCATTAACCTTTCCAAATTAATAGTATACTATGTTTAAGGCTCGGCGAAATAAATGAAGCGCTACTGGAGGCAAATTAAAATATCTCCCTCAGCAAAAATGAGACTCTCGCTCATGATGAAAGCATGTTTATAGTTTTTTCTTTGAGATTGCAAACATCACCGACATAGTCATATTCTAAAGGTATACATTGATATTTTTCATGTTTATAAATTTTAATTGATATTTTTTTTGTTTACATATTTGACATTCACCACCAGCATCATCAACGCCATCACCAAATTCAATGCCATCAACACCATCAGCGACTAGTAACAATGTTATACCACAGATTTATGGCGAATTACAACGAGGCGAAAAACATATACATATGTAGAAATTTTGCAAAGTTTTAAGAAAACTGCATTTTCTTGAACCACTATAAATGATTTCCAATTGTTAATATATATCAAAAGAAAGCTAAAACGATTACCTTTCTTTTGATTATAAAACCATTTAAATCGCTTGACATTTTTATGCAAATTTCGCAACTTTTGAAATCATTTGTATGTAAGCAGTGAAAAGGTTCTCAAATTTTGCAAAGTTGTAAGAAAATGCATTTTCTTGAACCACTATAAATGATTTCCAATTGTTAATATATATC